CCACCCACCCCCCCCCCCACACACACACTCTGACTAGGACAATCTTTGGCTCCCTAAAGCCCTTGTGGAGGCCCCATCCTTCTACCATCTGGTGGCCCCTGGTACCAGGAGGAGAGGCCCTCCAGAGAAGGGGAGGGCAGAGATCTGGTTCTCCCTCCCCTACTGGTGCCAAACAATAGGTCTTCTCACCCTAGAGAGACAAAGGTCCTCATGAAACCTCAGCCTGCTCTTAACTCTTTGGAGCCCAGATTTTCTGGAAGGGTTCAAGGGTGAAAACTACCCTAGGACACCTTGGTCTATCCGACTCTTACCTGAACCTTGGAGTAAAAAAGCAGCCCCTTTGTAAGGCCTCCATGGGGCTATGGCGGTTTCCAAATCCTGAACCCCAGATGTGACAGAGTCCTGCTTACCTGCCTTTCATTCCAGAGTCCCCAGAACCTGGGGTTGGGTTTGTTCAAAGTTGGGGCTATCCTGACCAGATCACAGCCCAGATTACACCACTCTCTCTCTTTGGGGGCCCTTGGATCTCTGGCCACCTATCCCCCAGTTCTCTATGGCCTTCAGATCCACCCACTCCCATCCTAGGAGCCCTAGGGCCAAAGTGCCCTCATCCTTCTGTTTGCCACCCTTGACTCTGGGGCCCCCTCCCCCTCAGACCTCAGACCTCTCTCTCCTACTTTGTCCTGGAGTCCAGCTCCTTCATTCCCTGGGCCCCAGCACTTCTACATCCCCTCCACCCGATGGCCCAACCTCTGAACCCAATTCAGGCCTCTCCACCCCTCCCCTACCATCCTGGCCTTGGCTTCCTCCACCCCCTCTTCTTCTCCAGTCTGTAGCTCACCCTGGAGTGACAGTGAAAGCCCACGTAGACCACAGCAGCCGACGGCAGCAGGGCCAAAGAGAACACAGCAATGGGCAGCAGCAGATGGAGAAGGAGGAGGGTCAGGTTGGCAGTGGCCAGCATCAGCACCCAGAGGCAGCGCCCAGCAGGACCCAGGGGCTCTGGGCGAAGATGGGGAACTTTCAGGCTGAGTGAGGGGGGCCCAGGCATCATGGGTGAAGTATCAGACACCCCATCCTCCACTTCTGCCTCCAACTCAGGTTCAGACATCCTCTTGGCCCTGGCACAGTTTTCAGAAGGCAGGAAGACAATTTGGGTGGGTCTCGAAGTCTCCTCAGCCCTCGTGGCTTTAATCCCCTAGCTCTCTTTGGGGCATGCCCCCACCTCCAGCCGTAAGCCTGAGGAGGAAGGGTTGTCTAGAATCTAACTTTTTCTCCTCTGGGGTCTTAGTTTCTGCCCTCTCCCTGAAGGCAGCCCTTCCGTTAACCCTCAGCTGTCTCTCCAGACCCCTCTGTCCATCTGGAGCCAGGCTCTTGGAGGGGTCCAGGCTTAGGCTCCAGCCCAGGAATAAGAGGATCAATCATCTGCAGGCCAGAGGGGTCCCTGTTGTCTCCACATTGGGTATCCCCTGCCCCCAGGACCTTGTCCCCTCACCCAAGGCAGGCAGAGCTGGGGCTGCTCCGAGCTAAAGGCTGTGTCTGCCCATGGTGATGCTTCTAAAGGCAGTGCTGCTTCCTTCCCCCACCCCCAGTCCAGCCTTCCCTGCACACTGCCCACAATTCCCTCCCTCACCCCATGCCCGCAGATGCCAACGCCTCGAGTCTCTCCCTGTCTCTACTGATCAGCTCTAGGAGCAGGGTGGAAAGCATCCTACCTTTGGGAAGAGGCCAGCACCCCTGATTCCATTCTAGGGAACCCCCCAGCCTTTCCAGTGAAGAGAGGACCCTAAAATCACCCTTTAAAAAATAAATTTTTATTTACATTGCCTAAATTTCTCCCTTTATCCACTCTCCTCCCCTCTTCCAGAGAGCCATCCTGAAGAACAAAGAAAAAGGAAAAGAAAATCAAAGCTCATTAACATACGAAAAGAAATCTGACAACATACACAATGTTCAACACCCGTGGATTCTCCCACTTCTGCAAAGAAGTAAGAGAAGTCTTCTATATTTTCTTTGGGGCCAAACTTCATTTTTGTAATTTTCAACATTTATTGGAAGAATTAATTATTAAAGGCTTCCTGTGGTTGTTCAGTCATTTTTCAGTCACACCTGACACTTTGTGACCCCATTTGGGGTTTTCTTGGCAGAGATTCTAGAGTGGTTTGCCATTTCCTTCTCCAGCTTATCTTACAGATGAAGAAATTGAGGCAAACTGGGTCAAGTGACTTGCCCAGGGTCACACAGCTAGGAGGTATCTGAGGCTGGATTTGAACTCACTCCAGGTCCAATGCTATATCCGCTGTGCCACCTAGCTGTCCATTTCAAGAAACTAGTGACCACAATTAAGGGGATGAGTCAATCTTGAATTGTGATGGAGAGGACAGGGAATCCATGCCTTCACCCCCAGGGTGGTCTCATTCTACTTCATACCCTCTTGATCCCATCTCCCCAAGCCTAGATCCATGACTAAGTGAGGTTGGAAGAGAAGCAAGTCCCGTGTGTCTTGAAAGTCGGGAATTCTTGGGAAGTCTAAAGAGTCCATGTTTTAATCTGGAGGTAATAGGGAGCCATTCAAAGGTTTTTTGTTTTGTTTTGTTTTTTCTTTTTGTTTGTTTGTTTCCCAAGGAAGGAACATAGTTAGACCTATGCCTTGGGAAAATAATTTTGGCAGCTGCATGAAAGATGTATTTGAAAGAGAGAGACCACTGAGGCAAGGAGACCTATTAAGAGGCTATTGCAATAGTGCATTTGAGTGGTGAGAAGGGGGTGTGGTACTTGGAAATGGAGTGAAGCGTGTGGCCTCTTGGGTCAGTGCTGGGGGGGAGGGGGAGGATGCTGCACAGTTAGATATGGAGGGTTCGAGGGGGAGGACGTGGGAGGGAGAGCAGTGGCCAAAGCCCTGGAATGCTGAGACTGGCATTGGATACAATGAATGGGTAAATTCTAGGGGGATGGAAGGTGGGTAGGTGTGGCCCCAGAGACCTTGATATTTCAACAAAGGGGCAAAGGGAACACAAACTGCCCATCAGCCAGAATGGATTATGGGACTGGGCCTTCCAAAGGTCTTCCTTCCCAGCCCAGGCAATGCACCTCTCCAGTCCTGCTCAGACCTCTGGCTCTGGCCAACCATCTCTCTGGAAATTTCTGTTGCTGGAAAATAAATGGGGCATAGGTTTGAGGAGGTCGAGAGGCATCAGGATGCACTCATTTGTGGTCTGGGAAATTCAGTATCCACATCCTCAGTCCCACTAGAGATGCCTCTTCAGCTTGGGGCAGCTCTCTCCTCCCAGCCTTCAGTCCAGGCTCATTTCTGTCTGTCTAGACCCTCCCGGTCTCCCCTCTCCATGGGAGACTCAGGCCTCCTCCTTCCTTCAGTCACCTAGCATATTCTTTTTTTTTTTTTTTTTTGCTTTTTTTGGTGAGGCAATTGGGGTTAAGTGACTTACCCAGGGTCACACAGCTAGTAAGTGTCAAGTGTCTGAGACCACATTTGAATTCAGGTCTTTCTGACTCCAAGGCTGGAGCTCTATCTGCTGCGCCACCTAGCCGCCCCCACCTAGCATGTTCTTCCTTGATTGATACATACCTTTATACCGATCCTATCCTCTCCATTATTAAATTAATTATTAATTAATTAACCCCAACAGGGTTCTGGCTGCAAAAAAATTAATTAAAATAATTTTTATTCATAAAAATACTGGATTAAGCAAAATGTGCTTTCTTAGATTAATTCCTAAGGCAAACATTCCACATGTACAAAGAGGTATTTGCTATGTTGCAAGCATGTAATCTCATCATACATGCATCTAAACTTCTTTTTAAAATTTGTTTATTTATTAATTTTCAGCATTCATTTTTATAAGATATTGAGGAAATTTCTAAAATTTCCCCCCTCCATCCCCTTTCCCCTCCCCAAGACTGCATGAGATCTGACATAGGCTATACATGTACAATCATATTAAACATATTCCCACATTAGTCATGTTGTGAAAGAAGAATCAGAATAAGAGGGGAAAACCACAAGAAAGGGGAAAAAAAAGAAAATAGTCTGCTTCGACCTACATTCAGACTCCATAGTTTTTTCTCTGGATTTGGACAGCATTTTCCATCATGAGTCTTGGGATTGTCTTGGATCATGGTATTGATGAGAAGAGCTAAGCCCATCATAGTTGATCATCGAACAATGTGGCTGTTACTGTGTACAATGTTCTCCTGGTTCTGCTCACTTCACTCAGAATCAGTTCATGTAAATCTGTTTGAGTTTTTCTGAAATCTGCCTCCCTAAACTTCTAAAGAGAATTAAAAAAACTGTATGTTTATATGATAAATTATATCATTTTCTCAAAGTTGCCCAGAGAATTACTACACAAGTTTGCTATCAGAAATATTTTTATTACATAATATTTAATCATGTTCAATCACCTATTCAATAGAAACTTGTTATCAGTCTTTTAAGTTACCTACTACCATGTATTTTTTTTCCCGTTGTTCCATTAAAGTATCGCTGCATCCTTTATCAATACGATATTCATGATTGGGGAATAAATAAAGATACATACACACAAAGAATTTCTTTCTTTTCTTAGGGCAGGTGAAAGTAACAGATGTCAAGTTGCTATCTAGCTAAGTATTGATTCTGACCCTAATTCTACTGCATTGTACACAGGTAATGCATAATGTAAGTAGTCAGAAAACTGCAGTAGGTGTTTTATTGGATATAGTTTAACTATTGGAGGTGATCTTTTTTTAAATGGTAATGTGGAATAATGCATAACAAAAATTTCATTCTAGTCAACATTTAAAACATTCTCATCAAAATGGATGTCGTCTTCCAAACCCCTGCTGGAGGGAACTCTTCACTGCACATGGGGCACACCTTTGGGTGACTTTCGACATATTCTTCAAACTTGCTAGGCTCCTAGTTGGGAGGGAACATTAATTCACAGAGGAGACACATCAAAGTTGGGCTAAAAGCAAAAGCCCGTCCCATGAGCATGTAAAAGCTGGTTTGGAGGTTCAGAAGCAGTAAGGATGTGGGGCAGCTAGGTGGTGCAGTGAATAGAGCACTGGCCCTGAAGTCAGGAGGACCTGAGTTCAAATGTGACCTCAGACCAAACATGACACATACTAGCTGTGTGACCCTGGGCAGGTCACTTAACCCCAATTGCCTAAAAAAGAAAAAAAAAAAGAAGCAGTAAGGATGTTCTCATCATCATCACTGCTATATCTGAGGTCTTCTAAACCAGCAGGCTGACTAAGGTTTCTAGCAGGCTGGCTCCAGACTACATTGTCTTTCAGTTTCCACAAGAACGTTTTTACAGGAGACCTTTGGATTTCATCTGGTTAAAAAGCACCATCTGCTCCATTTCTTGTGTCCTGGGCTGCAGAGGGATTCCCAAACTGCAGAACTGGTTTCCCATTTGGCATTGAAGGCACAGGACCACTTTGCTCTTTGGGGTGCCACTCACTCGGGATTGCCAGAAACTCTGACCTTCCGTGACTCTCTTGGCTTGATTTTCAAGTCTCTTTTTAAGCTCCTCCTCCTTCTCCCTGGTGAGAGTTTCCAAATATGAGGGCAGATCCTTTATTTCTTGTTCTCTCTTCACCGATTGAATTTTGTGCTGGCCCTCCACTCCCATAAGCCGCAGTTTCACACCCTCAATGATTTTCACCTGCTCCTTCCACTTCAGCTCCAATCTGGCCAGTCTGTCAGCATGACCGCTACATTTAGCCATCTCATCCAAGAGCAGTTGATTACATTTCTTATACTTTTCTGTTTTCTCAGCAACTTCTTTGGTCATTTCAGACCTGCCCCTTTGTTACTGCCTCAGAAATTATCTCATATGTAGCAAGTCCAACTGTAGCAGGTTTTCTTGGCAAAGATACTGGAGTGGTTTGCCATTTCCTTCTCCGGTGGATTAAGGCAAACGGAGGTTAAGTGACTTGCCCAGGGACACACAGTTAGGAAGTGTCTGAGGTTGGATTTGAACTCGTGTCTTCCTGACTCCAGGCTCAATGTTCTATCCACTGAGCCACCCAGCTGCCTCAGTATCTTCATCAGTCAGTTAATTAGCATTTGTTTTTTTATTAATTAATTTATTTTGATTTATC